ACAGAAACCCTAAAAGCCAAAAGAGAGTGGGGGCCAATATTCAACGTCCTCAAAGAAAAGAACTTTCAACCCAGAATTTCGTATCCAGCCAAACTAAGCTTCATAAGCAAAGGGGAAGTAAAATCCTTCATGAACAAGCAATTACTCAGAGATTTCATCACCACCAGGCCTGATTTACAAGAGCTCCTGAAAGAGGCTCTACACATATAAAGGAACAACCAGTACCAGCCACTCCAAAAACATGACAAATGGTAAAGAGCATCAACACAATGAAGAATCTGCATCAACTAATAGGCAAAACAGCCAGCTAGCACCAAAATGGCAGTATCAAATTCACACATAACAATATTAACCCTAAATGTAAATGGACTAAATGCCCCAATCAAAAGACACAGACTGGCAAATTAAATAAAAAGCCAAAACCCATCGGTGTACTGTATCCAGGAAACCCATCTCACATGCAAGGATACAAAAAGGCTCAAAATAAAGGGATAGAGGAAGACTTACCAAGCAAATGGAGAGCAAAAAAAAGCAGGAGTTCCAATTCTCATCTCTGATAAATTAGACTTTAAAGCAAAAAAGATCAAAAGAGACAAAGAAGGACATTACATAATGGTAAAAGGATCAATGCAACAAGAAGAGCTAATGATCCTAAACATATACACACCCAATACATAAGGCAAGTTCTTAATGGCTTACAAAGAGACTTAGACTCCCACACAATTATAGTGGGAGACTTTAACACCCCATTGTCAATATTAGACAGATCAACAAGACAGAAAATTAACAAGGATATCTAGGACTTGAACTCAGGCCTGAACCAAGCAAACCTAATAGACATTTACAGAACTCTCCACCCCAAATCCACAGAATATACAGTCTTCTCAGCACCACATCACACCCACTCTAAAATTGACCACATAATTGGGAGTAAATCACTCCCAGCAAATGCAAAAAAAAAGGAAATCATTACAAACCGTCTCTCAGACCGCAGTGCAATCAAGTTAGAACTCAAAATTCAAAAACTAACTCAGAACCGCACAGCTTCATGGAAACTGAACAACATGCTCTTAAATGTTGACTGGATAAACAATGAAATGAAGGCAGAAATAAAAGATGTTCTTCGAAACAAACGAGAATAAAGACACAACATAGCAGAATCTCTGGGACACATTTAAAGCAGTCTCTAGAGGAAAATAAATAGCAATAAGTGCCCACATGAGAAGCAAGGAGAGATC